GACCACCACCAAACCACGTGACCACCACCAAACCACGAGACCACCACCAAACCACGAGACCACCACCAAACCACGAGACCACCACCAAACCACGTGACCACCACCAAACCACGAGACCACCACCAAACCACGAGACCACCACCAAACCACGTGACCACCACCAAACCACGAGACCACCACCAAACCACGTGACCACCACCAAACCACGAGACCACCACCAAACCACGAGACCACCACCAAACCACGAGACCACCACCAAACCACGTGACCACCACCAAACCACGAGACCACCACCAAACCACGAGACCACCACCAAACCACGTGACCACCACCAAACCACGAGACCACCACCAAACCACGAGACCGCCACCAAACCACGTGACCGCCACCAAACCACGAGACCGCCACCAAACCACGTGACCACCACCAAACCACGTGACCACCACCAAACCACGAGACCACCACCAAACCACGTGACCACCACCAAACCACGTGACCACCACCAAACCACGTGACCACCACCAAACCACGTGACCACCACCAAACCACGAGACCACCACCAAACCACGAGACCACCACCAAACCACGTGACCACCACCAAACCACGTGACCACCACCAAACCACGTGACCACCACCAAACCACGTGACCACCACCAAACCACGTGACCACCACCAAACCACGTGACCACCACCAAACCACGAGACCACCACCAAACCACGTGACCACCACCAAACCACGTGACCACCACCAAACCACGTGACCACCACCAAACCACGAGACCACCACCAAACCACGAGACCGCCACCAAACCACGAGACCGCCACCAAACCACGTGACCACCACCAAACCACGTTGCTCTACGTGGACATCGGAAGGCGGATGAGACCCAGGTCACGGAGAGTGCGTTTGAAAAGCCGAAGTTGAAAATGAAAAGTCTCTTGAACCCTTCGGCTGAGCTGCAAGGGGTAGCCAGGAGACGATAGGCCAGCAGGTGTTTTTTGTGAATCCATCTGTGCGGAGTTTTGAACTGAATCAGTAGTGGATATTGGTCCCTTGGTTGAATATGCACAACTGGGGTGCAGTGATGACTCCAGGCGAATGTCGGCTTACGTTGTCTGGTGCGCTTGCGACACGTGCACGTGCGTGGTGAACACTTGCGCAGTAGTTAGCACGCACCGCCCCTACCAACCCAGCAACTTGAGTTGGATTCGTGGCCTTGGCTGACAGCAGTCGCGAGCGATATCCAAACCGGTCCTGGGCTCCCTTCAGTACCTACCCATACTCACCAGCATGGTGAAGTACGGTCAAACAACCCTGCGCCTGACATAGCATGGGGGGGGGGGGGGGGGGCTTTATCCAGCAGTGGATTGAAAATGGTTTAAAATAATACTGGTATTAAGTGTGCCTCATTATAAGCTTAACGCATGGGCTCATGTAATCTCTCTGCTCATATGCGACACATATATATATATATATGCACGATGCGTCATCGTCATCGCCAGCAGCATCAGGCATGATCAATCCACTGCTGGATTAAAGGGCTATCGAAAGGGGGCGCCAGTGACCACGATGTAATAATCCACCGAGTACCTACACTTAGACGAGCTGATGTCATGCATCCATCCATCTCCTTGGGGGACGTGCTGCCCGGATGCGTTCCATTCCACCGCTGACTCCCCCGTTACCTTGCCGCGTGTTTAACTCTCGACAAAAGCCTTTTATTTTCGTCTCCTCTTCGGCAAATGTGAGCACCGTAAAATGCGTACAAAAAACAACAACAAGAAATGCACTTCAAACAAAGTGCGGGGAGAAAATAAATAACATTTGCAGCTGCCGAGTCGTCACGACACGCCGGGACGTGTTTTCCGCAGCGTTTGCGCTCGCCCCCCCCCCTCTCCTGCATCCCCCCTCCTCCACCCCCTCCCCCCCGTCCTCGTTTTGTTGTCGTTGGCACCTGACTGAACATTTGTTTGTCTGCGGTGAAGTGAAAAGTTGTAGATAGATTAAAACATTTTGCCTCGTCTCCCCCTCCCGGAGGGATCTGATGAGCGGCAAGTGCCAGGATAAATCGGGCGGCGTTCTTCAGCCGCAGCCAGGAGTCCATTAAGAAGCGGTGTCTCTTTGTTTTGGTACCTTCGGTTTTATAGCGTCTGTCTGGACGCTTAAAAACCGCATTGTTACTTTACTTACCGTGTTTCAAGTGGAATTGCGGTCTTTTGTTGTTGTGCGTTATCGGCCAATCGTGACAATTATGTTTTTCGGCATCGCCTCCTGAAACAAAGAAATGCATTTGTAACCCTTGCAGATAGTGGTGCACCACCCTGTGTCAGAGACGGCCACAGAAGATGAACTAAAAGATTTGACAATTTTTCTTATTTTTTATTTTACCAGGCCCACTGAGCCTTATAGCTCTTTTTCAGAAGCGACCTGTCCCACAAATGATAGCTCAACGAAGCCGCTTATCTTGTGGAAAATGGCAGCAGCCAAATGCCCCCATACACACGTTTCTAAAGGCAGGAAGTAACGCTAGGGGCCACACCCGTGCCAATCACACTGAATGCACACGTTCCTGGAATTGCAATTCAGCAGTTAATATGAAAAGAAGCCACATTTTAGTTTTTGACCTGGCCCAGTCATTGCTTTCTCGCGGTACGCTTGAGATCACGGTGTCAATCACGGGTAGCTGAAGCCAGGTTCGATCACGGGATTTCAGCATTACCATCGGCGGGTGAGTGCTCTGCTGTGGCCTTTCGATGCGATATTTCAGCCACCTTCATTCTAGTTTCTTTCCCGAGAGAATACGACATGCAGGTGTATGTGTGTATATGCGTCGAATTTCTTCCGCACCGTACGTAGCCAACCGTGCTAATCGGAGGTACGGCGGAAGGACAACGAACTAAACACATTAAAATAAAAAAAAATCTGATATTCATTGATGCGGCACTGTGAGGGGATTGCCCGAATACACAATGGAATGGTTGCCAGTTAAAATCGCCAATTAAAAAAAAAAATATTGCTGTGGTTTTCACACCTGATGATGATTGCTTGTGTTGCAATCGAAACGTCGTGATAATTTTATTGTTTTATTATTATTTTATTATTTCCCTTCTACGTGACTTTACCGAAAGAACCAAGAATATTTTCCTTGGTGGTTCATGTCAGCCCGCGGGTCTCTCTTAGGGTGAATTAAAATGAGTAGAGGACCAATGTTTGTAAAGGGAAGATTGGCTGTTCTGTGGAGAGGGTGTTACATTTCACCTCTGGTTCTTGACTGCCAACAGCAATGAACTCCATCCAGGTTTGCAAAGTTTGACTCATTTTGTTCTTTGAGATGCACAGGATGAAAACATTTTCAAGGAGCGTATCGGCGTTATAATCACTGGCAATATTGTAGCGCAGAGAACCCTTCTTCACAAATCCGTGAGAGAGAGGGAGCGCAGATATGCGTTATCCCATATAGCTGCACTACCCTTGCTCCATAAGGGCGTTGGTGAATTTAGAAAAAATGATGGCGGTGCCTAATAGTGTGAGTGTTATGTGGCTGGGAGTGATAGTCCGTGCATGCCTGTGTGTGTTTAATCATCGTTGTTACGATTCCCCTCGTTCACGAAGGGAAGTCTCATCGAGCCCCATGACCATTTTCAGGAAGGACCTGCCAAAGTTTTTTTTTGCAACAGAGGGCAATAATTTGCTGAGTACGTGTTATTCCAATGGAGGAATTTGTGGGTCCATTCTTTTTTTCATATTCGGTAAATATTGGCCATAGTTGCCAGCGCAGCGAATCGCGTGACGTGATCTCTTAACGTCCGCTGCGAAGCAGATGGCACGTGCCGTCACCGTTAATGTCACCCTGCAGCGGTATAAATCGGGGTAGCCGATGGATTCGAACCGTGAACCTGGCACACTCACTACCGCCGGCCCGTGTCACCGCCCGTTGGATGTGCGTGTGCGCGTGCCCGGCGCGTGGGGAAGCGATGGCACAGCGGTTAGCGTGCTGCGCCACGAACCGGCCAAGCCGAATTCTATTCACGCTCACGGCAAACGCCAGTGACGATGATCAGGACCGGTCCTAGGTCGACTCGGCCTCAAATGAGTACCTGGTGCAGTGTGTAAACATTCACACTCGGGAGACAAAGGCGGCTGAGCGTGGTGCCGGCCATCCACACCCTCGTGTGCCGTGCCGGCCTTCATAGGGGCTCGCTAACAGCACCTTCCCCAACAGTCTGTTAAGGCTATACGGGGGATCTTTGTCTTTGTGTGTGGGGGGGGGGGAGTGGTCGTGTAGATGTTAGCGCACTGTGCTACGAACCTGGTGGTCTGAATTCAATTCCTTGCCACAGTTAACATCAACCAGTGGTTTTTTAAACTGACCCTGGGCCTCCCCTAGGTCGACTCGGCCTTCACTGAGTACCTGGTGCAGTGTGTAATATCAGCCCTTGGGGAAACAAAGGTGTGCGCTGGTGGCGCTGCCCTCACGACCCCCCCCACATGTGCTGTTGGAGCCTTTTCACTCAGTCGGTAAGAGTGTCTGCCCCGACAGCCAGTGTCGGCTCCGTAGTCTTTGTGTATGCAAGTTCATGTTTATGTGCATGCATGTGTGTGCTTGTGACTGTATGCACGCATGTGTGTATGTATTTGCAAGCATATGCTTGCGTGTACATGTGCCTGTTTTTGTGTGGAAGCTTATGTATATGTGTGTGTATACATGCGCGCCTGAATACGTGCGTGTGCTTGTGTGACCGCGTGTTTGTGTGTCTGTGCGTGCACCAACATGGCATGCGTGCATTGCATGTGAGCGTGTGTGTGTGTGTGTGTGCTTGCTTACGTATTTACGTATGTATGTGCGCGTGCACCGTTACGCACATGCGGACACAGCGGGTACACTATCATACGCGCGCGTGCTCACTCGCATGCATAATTGTGCGTGCGTGCGTGTGTTTGTGTTGTGTGTGTGCGCTCCCGCGTGTGTGTGTGTGTGTGCGCGCGCGCTGTGGCCAGCAGTTCGGCAGTGAGTCGGACCAGATGGCGTGGGCCACTTGGGAGAGCGAGCGAGCGGAGCGGGAGCGTCTCGATCGGCTGAAGCGGCAAGAGCAGGAGGATCTGGAGCTCGCCATCGCGCTCAGCAAATCCGAAATGTCCAAGCCGTGACACGCGGCCGCCCCCGCTCCCGGTCTGTCTCGCAAGCGGAAGTTGACGCCGGGGGTGGGGGGGGGGGCGAAGAAAAACAAAGCGACTCGTGAGCGGGTGTTCGCTCGTCCACGGCCCCCCGGTAACAGCCGGGAGATTAGCGGCAACAATAAAATAACTATATATATATCAGGGAATTAAAGGAACATTGTAATTATAGTAGGAAATGCTACGCGAAAGAATTTCGGGTGTGTCGTCGCCGCTGTTTCTGCTGCGGTGAGGTTTGGCGAGGACAAAGGCGGATTTGCCAAAAAAATTTGACGAGCACGCGCTACTTTACTTGCTCTCTTTTGCGTGCCGTTTCATGATAGCCGGAGATTACGCGGACTGATTATGTGGCCAACTTAACGGATTCAAGTTTAGTTTTTAACTCCTGCTATTTATCCACGTGACGGCGGTCAATGCACAAGCTTCCACCTGAGAGTGAATTTCTAATTCTGTGTTGTTGAGAACAAATTTTGGTTTTGTGATCTTTTCCCGGTGTTCACGTGGCTCGCAATCTCAGAGCTTGGCGGTAGCCAGATGTATTAGGCAGCCTAGAGGGGGTCCGATCAAAGTTTTATATTCACAAATAAACCCCCCCGCCCCATATTTATGCCCCCCCGTATATTGTACACTATTTGAATCCCGCGTGCATTACGATATTCAAACACTTTGGTTGACAGCACATTCGCCCCTGGCATTCTAGCGGATCCAGATGCCAACACGGCACTCGATTGGGGGGTGGTGGATAGTTAGGGGTGGAGGGTTGGTGGTATTCCAGCCGTGGGGAGCGGCAGTGTAGAGGTTGGCACACTGTGCTTACGAATCCGGCGAGCCGAGTTCGATTCCCGCTCACGCCCAACACCAGTAACGATGATCTGAACCAGCACTGGGCCTCCCCTAAGTCGATGCAGCCTCGATTGAGTACCTGCTTCGATGTGTAAACATCGCTCTTTGGGAGACAAAAGCGGCCGTGTGGAGTTCCGGCCTTCAATGAGGGCTCACTCGCAGCACTCACCCCAACAGTCTGTTTAAGGCTACACGGGGGGATCCTTGTTGTTCCCACCCACTTGGCTAAGGCCCTGTTGGGGGAGGCTTGCCGTGATTGATGACTCACAGCTGTAGCTCAGAGTCTCGATTAGACTGCTGCCCTGCAATGAGCCGGGCAACTCGCACGGCTTGGCAGGAGGGTGTATAATGGACGAGCGCAACTTGCTCGGAAACTATCTCCTTCCGATGAAATATTTTATTTCCCATCCAAACGGGGCTCCGTGCGCCCCCCGTTGTGCGCCGTGCCCCAATATTAGGTCAAGCTGTCTGCACGAAGCTCTGAAGTTGAAGGGGGTGCTGTGCGAGCGGTCGGTGGAAGGTTGTTATTGTGGACGTGTAATTAATATCGAAAAGCCACCTTTCGGTAACAAGTGTCATTTTTTGTTCTCTGTCTGGGTTTCTGATGGAACATGTTTGCGAGTAGCGGCGCTCTTGACACTTAACCGAGTACAGCCAAGCTTTGATATCACATCCAGTTCTGTGTGCAATGCCTTTAATCGGAGCTAGCGTGGCTCCATTGATTCTCCAGTCACCTTTGGACGATCGCTGCAAGGTCGCATTTGAAGACAAATTGTCTGCCACGTCTCTTGTGATCATTGCCCTGGCATCGTCGTTTTTTTTGTTTTGAATCGCGTTTGCTTAAATTGTTACGTGGATTTTTTTCCACAAATATATTTTTTTCTTGAGTTATTAACACGTGCCACTGCCCTAACTTCTCTTTCGACAGATGTAATGTATCGTCGCCAATAACCTCCTTTGAGAAATGTTATTTTACGGAGTAAACTATTATAATGGTATTGCCACATTAAGTTAAGTCACGACGTTTGTTGGTTTTACTGCATGCGAGCAACTTCTAACTTGGTACAACATTATTAAAGTCTCCCAGTGCTCAAACAAGCAGATGGCATTGCTCATATCCCTTAGCCATCCTAAGCCAGTGGTGGAAATTCCACATTCCTATTTAAAGACCAGCCTGTTTAATTACAGTAGTTTTACAATATGTATTCACACACACGCACACAGCCGACGGGCAGGTCACGTGCTGTCTTTTTGTTTATTGTTGTCCTTCCCCTCGCATCGGTGATCCGCGTGGTTGGCTACGGACGGCGCGAGAGAAGGTCAATTTCCATGTTGCTATCTCTTCCAATACGTGTAGCCAGCGTGGAAGAGTAGGCCAAGCATACCCTCTAGATCTGCCTGTAGAGAGCTCTCGTGTGGAGGCCTTTCTGCCAGCAGTGGCACGAGGAAGTTATTGCGGGGCTGCGCATTTACCTTCACACAATCTCACACGCGCACACATGTACACGTAAATATATGAATTATTAGGCAAAGGAGTTGTCTGACTTCTGATATGAGGAATCACTAAATCTGATCACGTGTCCATCCGATCAAGTTTGTAGAATAGTTGATGCAAGAAACAAATAACCACCGTGTGTGTGCATGCAACGAAAAGTTGATCCTTTCGGTGACACTTTGCCGACGAATTCTATTACGAAAAGAAACGGCGAGTGACGCTGCGCTGCGTCTCAGAAGCGCTTTGCTCAGAACTGCAGCAGTGATCGGCTTCATAAAGCTCCACACAAGGCCAGTTCTTGCGTACGTACATACAATCTAGGTTTTTTTGGGTAAAATCGTATGTATATGAACGTGTCGTTAAACCCACCACTACCCGACACAGCCAATTAGTAAGGTTTGTCACGCAAATAGAACGTGCCAATTTGTCACTAGTACAGCACACCGGGTTGTGTGTTGGAGAGCCAAACCACAACATGTTCTGTTTAGGTGACAAACCTTACTAATTGGCTGTTTCGGGTGGTGGCGGTTTAACGACACGTTTATATTAACGCGATCTAAACCAAAAGAAACCTATATTGTGGCTGATGTTGGTTGCGAAAGCCTACGTGTTAATAGTACATACGTTTGTACGAGACCTTTCATGCCGCCAAGTATTTGTTGGAAAGGCGAAATGTTCTCTCCCCATTAAAACTTTTTTTTCCCGAGGACAAAGTGAAGAATGAAAACCCGTTGCGCAGGGCCTGAGATCGCGCGAGAGATTTAAAAAAACCCAGCGTTCGGTACCACGCGGGTTTTGCCAAAGGCTTTCTCCGCGTGCAGCGGGTGAGTTCCCTGTGGGGTGGAGGGGGGGATGTGGTAGAGAGATGATGAGCCGCGAAGTTTGATTCCACGGAGGCGTGCGTTCAACTGTTGTAACCGCTGGGACCCGACGGCAGCTTGGCACGACTCGTGCGGAGTTCTCCTCTCCATCTCTTCGTCGTCAGCAGCGCCGCTCAGCCCGAATTCCCTCCCTGCGCATGAAAATACACAACGGTGCTTCGGAGCAAGGCTCGGGGAAGTTTGCAAGTTGGTGGAGGAGCTGCGTCGACCGCGTGCGACGACGTCCGTCTCCGTCGCCTCGTTATTTCTTTCTCCGTCATCGTCTTTGGGGGGTTTATGTTGCCGTGTTGTATAGCCGGGCCAGCGTTAACATTGATTTTTTTTCCCCTTAGTTTTTGTTTCAGGTGGAATGTGTGGCAGAGGCTGGGGAAATGAATGTCTCGTAACAGTTCAGAGCCAACGGCGTGTGTATTTCTTAATATCTCTCTCTCTCTCTGATCATATTTATCTTTCCGACGCGGCAGACGTGAACGCGCAAATCCCCGGTGGTGGTGAAATGTGCTCCTTTTCCGGATTCTGCGCTTCATTACACTGTTTCATTCTTACCTTTGCTCGCGGCGATGGATCGTTGGTTTGTTAAGTGTATATTGTTAAATTGTAATTAACGTTTTTAAAAACCACTTCAAAAGTTTCTTTTTTGTGTGTTTTTTTTTAACTGGAACAATTATGGCAATATGCAAGCGTGTTAGTGCCGTTCAGCATTTAAAATATATACGATTAAAATAAAACATTAATGTGAGAAATTTGCCGACGAGTTGCAAGCGCCTCTTGATTACATTAGCGGTACGCGCGCGGGTTTGCAACGTTTACTTTCGTAGGCACTTATTGAAAACCCAGATTTTTGTGCCGCAAATATTATTTTATCCCCATGCCTCACCGAGTCCCTCGAGACTTTTTCTTTCACCGACGTGTCGGAGTCGTGGCATTGTGATGTTGGCCGCTTTTCAATTTCGGCGAATACTTTCGGTTGCGACGTGTGTACACAGGTCCCATCCGTTCATAGATGCCCCACGGATTCGAGTGATCTATCATCCGCCCCCCTTCCATATCAACAACTTCATCTTGCGCGTTGTTGAATGTCGTACGCAAATGAGGCCGGCTGTGTCGAACACAGTTCATCAAGAGAGTTTAAAAGCTCCACCAAGTCGATTGAGACTGGTGGGAGACGTGCAGAGTCTTTGTATTAAGTGTTGTTGTCCTCCCTTATTATATTAGTCGAGGATCTTAGACATGGATTGTGCTGTGTTCGTGTCTCGCAGCAACACACTGCACTGCGCAATACATCATCTATACAATTCACGGGCAAATGCAACTTTCAAGGGGCTGTTTTGGTCGCGCTACATAAGGCACACATACAGTGAAACAAGAACTTGCCACATTCATCATTGAATCTGCCTATGCTGATGAGGCAGTGTTGACAACTGATGTGAATCGCGGGGTTTTGCTTCTCTTCACCTTCTGCAATTTTGTTTTGGGCCGTAACATTTTTGAAAAGCCAACGCAGTCAACTTCTGCGCTTCGGTCGAACGATGGTCAATTTGACCAAGCTGACGGGGAAGGGAGGAGCGAACCCTTTGGCCACACGCGCACAAAACGATCAAACTTTCTTCCACGAGTGCTCGGTTCAGCCCCGCCGAAGCTGTCTTCGCTTGCGTGGCGCGACTTCGACGTGAACATTATTTTTGTTTTAAGAAGACAACACTCCGGCTGACCTGTTTGCATCTCGTCTTTTTCGCCTCCGGCCCCCCCGAGTGCAGTGAATTAGTTTTCTCATCAGACGGAGCAGCGAAGGGGGGCAATTGCCCCCCACTGGAATCTGGAATCCCACTTAATTCGAAGCTGTTAAATCGTCGGTCGTCGCCACATTTTCATATTCTTCTAGATTTGAAGCTTTCGTGACTGCAAAGATTCATATTCTTAGGTTTTTTCGGTTAAGTCACGTAAGTAAAACATCAAAATAAAAATAAAATAAAAATTAAAATCACGAAGTTTCGGAGGCAACACAAGTCTCCGTCATCAGGTGGGACCGTCACAGCCGAATTAGCTGCATCAAGTGAAGCAATGATTCAAGATGTAATCCCAAGATGTAATCCCTTATAAGCAAGTTAAGCAAGTTGAAGGGAGGTGGAGAGGGGGGGGTTGGAGAGCTTATCAGACTGTGGTAGCCAATGAATGGAAACGTATCGGGAGGGAGGAGGAGCGGTGATCAAAGACTGCACGCAGTGCTCAACACAATGAATGGAAACGTATCGGAAACGTTACAAGTTACGGCTTTCACGATGGCCGCTTTCACCATTTGCTCCCTCAAAAACACAACAAGAGCGCGTTTTCTGTATGCATTTGTAGTCTTTAGCCGTGACATCATCGTGTCGGAGGTTGTACAAAGGCTGCGTGTGTTGCGGTTAACGTGCAGGAGGATAAGAGGTGGCCGTGAAATGGAAGCAACAACAACGGCCATTCGCCACTAAGTGGCGGTCACGTCACCACGACGCTTGTGCCAGGCCATGTGCACCTTGAGGCCACGTGAAGTGTCGAACGCCCGCTGGCAGGAGGTCACGGGGCAGACTCAGGTGCCACGGGTCGACTGACTGAGATGACCGAGATGGAAGCACGCACACTCACACATCTTGCCACTGGACTAATTTCACACCTGCCTCGTTGCTGCTCTGCCCTGCTGCTGCTGTATTTCTTCCCGATCGCTTCAGGGAATCACGGTTGCCGTTTCGGCGATTAGCTTCGTCGAAAATGCAATGAGATTCCTGCTCGAAGTTTAATGTTAAGCAATTCGTTATGTACACGGTGGCCCCCACCCCCCCCCCCCCCAAATTATTATTTTTTGCATCAAGCATCATGCAGACAGGTGGGGGCTCTGGCGTATTATGACGAGGGCTGAACGATTTGGGGAAAATATCTAATTGAGATTTTTCTGACAGATATTGCGATTTGATTTGCAATAAAAATTTTAAGTCAAGCTTCAGTTCAATATTCACTGTGTAATAGATTTAAAACGTGTGGTGGAGCATTACCACATGATACCATCAACATATGAACTGCTCTATATATTCTAATGCAAGGATGAGAACTTAAAATATATGAATTGCTTCCAACATGGATTTGTTAAAATGTTTTAATTGAAATAGAACAATAAAACGTAGCACAATTGTTAAGTCAAATGAATTAAGTTATAATAATAAAAATAATAAAACAATTCCAATAAGAAAGTAATAGGACTTTTCAAATCGCAAAAAATTGCTAATCGCATTGTTTAAAATTGCGACTTCGATTTGAAATCGATTAATCGTTCGGCCCTAATTATGACCTCGCAATTCTGGAATTTCGTACTTAAAACAGGAGTTCAGTGGGCCACGGATTGGGAGTGGGTCTCCTCTGATGTGGCAAACGCGGTGCGAACCCCAAAACCCCGGGACGTGATAACAACAAGGCAACTAATGATCATTGCCCAAAGGGAATTATATTGATTCATTTTAATTAATTTTCTCTGTTATGATTTAGTTCTTGCTATGTGTGTTTTTTCTAGTTACGTATCCATTTTTATTTGCTAAGTAAGTGGGCGTTTGTGTTTTTTTATCATCTGTGTAAGGGATTGACTAATTGATGTTGCAGTTGTGGGATGCAATTGCATGAATGACGCTCTATAAAATGAAATTGTTATTATGATCATTCCCGAAGGGGAATTATAGTCATTGTCATGTTGTTATCAGGTCTGGGCTAATAATTCGCCAGGGAGAATACATCACACTTAAGATTGACGCATGTCGAGGAACAGATTGAGGAACGCGGAAAAAAAAATAACTGTTGCGCAACGGCTGTTTATCCTTCTGCAGCCATAACCCAGAGTGGAAGAATCTGTCGAGGAAGAAACCTGGGCACGGGTCCCAGTCACATTGCCGAGAGGAGAGGACAGGGGGACGGGGAAGCTGTTCCAATATCTTCGTGTTCACGCGAAGGGACCTGGCGTGGGCCACCCCGCAACATGCTCGCTCTGCGCGCGCATCAGAATCAGTATTTATACTGCAGGAGAAATCCCATGAGCTGTGAAGCTCTTTCACAACAACAAACGGTACACAGACACGAGGGGAGTGTAAAAGTATAAGCGAGGTTAACAAATCACCCAGACATCAACCAATACAACACTCAACCATCCCCATCCTGCCAGGCAAAGCTCACTGAGGTGTTCACTTATACTGTGTGTAAAGTAGATAATTATCGATTATAATCGATTATATTATCCGGGGGCAAGGGGCGCCGGATTTTCAAAAACAACGGATAATCACGAATCATTATTTCAAATAGCTTGTTTTCGCACATTCTTGTAAAGAACATGTTTTAGTTGTGGTATATATGTTTTCTTAGTGTTTAAAATGTGTGTACTTTGTGAAATTGTCAGAAATAAACATTCAAATAGACAAACAAATTTCCTACTCGAAAAAGTTACCTATTTACTGCACCGTATTTACATGTTGAGAACTTGGTCTTGCAGACGTACTTTCATCCAATCCACACTGTGGTCAACCACCACTCACCCACCCAATCACCCACTCATTCGCCCACCCACTCGTCCACTCACTCATCCACTCACTCACCCACCCACTCACTCACCCACCCACTCATCCAACCACTCATCCACTACCTTACTCAACCACTCATCCACTCATCCACCCACTCATCCACTCATCCACCCACTCACTCACTCATCCACTCACCGAACCACTCATCCACTCTCTCACCCACTCATCCACTCTCTCACCCATCCACCTACTCATCCACTCTCTCACCCACCCACTCTCTCACCCACCCACCCACTCTCTCACCCACCCACTCTCTCACCCACCCACTCTCTCACCCACCCACTCTCTCACCCACCCACTCTCTCACCCACCCACTCTCTCACCCACCCACTCACTGCACGTCAGACCACTTCTCTATCTCCTGCCCCCGCACCGCTCCACGATGCAATTCCCTGCAATCGTCTCTTTGCCCAAGTACTCATTACTTTGCTAAACTCAACTAACACATTCACTTTAGTCGTGTTATTTGTAACGGTGCTTTTTAACTTTTAGCCCTTGCTCACCAGCCGTTAGGCACATAAAAAAATCATCAGCCATTGGCATTCCACTGCTGGGTGAAGGTTTTCTTGCCAGGTAAAGATCCACCTAGCACCTGCACATGAGCGAATTTCATCGCTCCGTCGCCACGGTGGCTAGGAGATGTTAAATACCTCGCCTGGTATACAGGAGGTCGTGGTTTCGATCCCGACGCTGAACGCCTGCTGCTTTATATTTGGAATTTGCATGGTATCCTCGTGGTCGTGTGGATTTTTTTCCAGGCCCTCCGGTTTTCCCCTCTACATTTAGAATCAACGTGCGTTTAGAGTTTTTGGCTGCAATAAATGTCCGCATGATAAGCCACTTCGTTGAGTTATCATTTGTGGCCAGGTCGCTCCTGAAAAAAAACTGTATAGCTCAGTGAGTATTACCTGTTAAAATAAAAAAAAAGTTTAAATCTTTTTTAAAAATAGTTGTGTGTTCTGTCCAAACGTAAAAGTGTGAATGCTGTCATCAAGCTGTGTTATCTTCACTAATAAACGTGCTTCTTTTTCTGTCACAATGTCTATTCCCAACGTGCATCTCTCCGTGCTTTTTTGCGCAATTTTCAGTTTTTGTTCCGCTTCTATTTTTGTGTCGGTTGTTTAGGACCACGTGCCGCAGCAGCTATTACGGCGTCGA